TGCATGATAAGCAAGTGTTCTACAACTGAGTCACATCCCCAGCCTCTTCCTTTTTGTTTACCTATTAATATATTAATGACCTTTAGGCATAGGAAATTTTAAACATGGTAGAGTAAGGTATGTTCTTTTCCTCAACCTGCTTTAGTAATTATAGCTAGTTTGATTTTATCTGTATGTACCCATTTACCCACTTCCGGGATTGTGTGTGTATGTGTATACACATGTAATGCACATAACACATATTTTCACACATGTGTAGGTTAAAGATGTAAACAGAGACTGCACAGACCCAAATATATTCACACAGAAAATATATTAATTACAACACTGTCTGGCCAATGGTTCAGGCATATTCCTAACTAGTTCTTACATCTTAAATTAACCCATTTCCATTAATCTATATAGGTATTGCCATGAGACTGTGGCTTACCAGTAAGGTTCTGGCACCTTTCTCCTTCAGTAACTACATGGCGTCTTCCTGACTTATTTCCTCCTGTATCTCTGCTTAGATTTTCCACTTTGCTATATTCTGCCCTGCCATAGGTCAAAGCAGCTTCTTTATCAACCAATGCTAATAAAACATTCACAGCATACAGAGGAGCTTCCCACATCATAAAGATCTATTTTGTGTATCATTCCTCTGGAGCTGTCTACCATTCCTACTGTTTCCTCCTGCTGGGATCTGAGGTCTGCCAGTTACCTAGGTTGGCTGGTCAGTAAGACCCAAAGATCTAGACCTCCTTTCTCTACTACCTCAGTGCTAAGATAATAAGTACCACACCTATGTACCAGGCTTTTTCTTTTAGGCCACTGACCAGCTCCCAAATCATGATACAGAGAGTTCTTAATAGTTTTAGTGGTCGGCCTAGCTCAGGCACACCAGTTAACTTCTGGCTAACTCCAAGTTAACCTGCTTCTCTTTATCTACCTTTCGCCTTGAGGCTTTTTACTTTTTTCCCCTCCTGTATATCTTTCTTGCTGTTTGTTTCTGGCTGGCTGGCCACTGACTGATTTCTTGCCCTAGGAGTATTCCTTGTTCTCTTTTCCTTCTTCTTCCTCTTGTTCTTCTCTTCTTCTTTCTTCTCTCTTTCCTCTCTTAGCCTAGATTTCTCTTCCTTTTTATTCTTTCTGCTGGCCAGCCTGGCCCATCCTTTCTCTGCCTAACTGTTGGCCATTCAGCTAGCTCTTTATTAGACCAATGAAGTGCCTTAGGCAGGCAAGATGAAACAAATGCAGCACAACTTTGCACCATTAAATGCTGCATAAAAAGTAACCCATCTTTTCATTGTTAACTAAGACAGCAGAAACAAGTGTAACACACATTCACATAGTTAAAGCAATACTCTGCAGCATACACAAATGTAACACATCTTTGCCTAGTTAAAATAATATTCTACAACATACCTAGCTTTTACTGTGCGCTCTGGGAGCTGAACTTAGATTCTCATGCATATGTCCTGGGATTATTTTTAAAGTGAACCCTAGACATTATGTCATTTCAATGGTGAATACTTCAGAATGTTCTATCTAAACATCTCTAAAATATGTTTATAAAATATAAGAACGTTTAAAAAGATATGTTTATTTTTTTAAAGTTATGTTTATATGCATGTGTCTGTGTGTGTGGTTATGTGCACATATGAGTATGGGTACTCATGGAGTCTGGAAGCGTGTATTGGATCTGCTGGAGTTCCAGATGATTGTAAGCTCTCAGTGTGGGTGCTGGGAACTGAATTCAAGTCCTCTGAAAATCAGTATGCACTTGTTTGCCCTGTAGTTTCTCCTTAGCTAGATCTTGCAGTGTGTATCCCCGTGCATTGTTGAGCATATTCTGTGACCTAGTTATTGTCTGTAAATTGGTTAGATTTAGTGGCTTACTTAGAATCAGGCTTGTTATTTTTGGCATAAAGTGTTCTGATGACTGTCCCTTTGTTTTTTATCTGCTGCCACCAAACTGTCCTCCCACAGTTGAGTGATTGTTATTTAAAGGACGGTTTTCCTGGATGTCTAAATATAGGAAGTATCTACACACCTAATTGTTCCAAAGGGACTTTCAAAAAATGATTGTATTAGTGCTCCCACAATAAATTAGCACACATGTAGTGACTTAAAACTCACATTACCACAGTTTAAAGGTCAGAAGTTCAGCTTGGGTCTCCAGGGACTCTGATCAAGGTGTCAGTTGGCTGCATTCCTTCCTGGAGGCCCTAGGGCAGAATCTGTTCCCTTGCCGTGTCTACTTCTAGAAGATCCCCATTTTCCTTGGCTCATAGCTCCATCTTCAATGCCTCTGTCATGCCTCCCTCTGACAGCAGCAGGGCAACCTCCATTTCTCGGAACTAATAGATTGTGTTGGGTCCACCTAGATTCCCCAGGCTCATCTCCTACCTCAGACTCCTGTATCTTCACCACTTCTGCAAGGTCGCTTTTTCCATGGAAAGTAACTTAGTCGCAGGTTTCAGGGGTTAGGACTTGGACAGCTTGGCTGTGTCAGTGTGTGTGTGTGTGTGTGTGTGTGTGTGTGTGTGTGTGTCTGTGTGTGTGCGCATGTATGTGCGCATCTGTGCGTATCTGTTTGTATGTGTTTTTCGTTCTTCTACAGCAATCATGTCTTAAAATCTACACCATTGTAAAGTTGAAGAATGACTCAGAGTTTGGTATGTTGCAAATAACCTGTTTTGACACCATTCCTAAGGCATTAGCCTTGGACCCTGTGATAGAGTGAGGCAAATTATGGAGAATGAACTGTCACAATGTCACACTTCTGCTGTTCCTAAGGAGATTGTCTGCCGTGAGTCCTGGTGATATTTTTGTTGGAAACAGGCTTTTATTTTGATTTTTACTAAGTGGCTAAACCATTGCCTCTTAGAAATGTCAGTTTGCAGCTCAGAGAATCTCAGTGTGTTAACATGATCATTTTGACTTACCTAGTATCTGCCATGTCTGAGTTGTGGGTTGAAAATTGACTGTAGCAACATTACATGCTGAGGAGGCGCTCCAGTCTTAGGAGTAGGAGAGCGTTCCAGCCCTTTCTGTTGTGCACTAGGGAGGCCTTTAGGAGACAAGTTTAGTGTAGCTGTTTCTCGCTGACAATTTGTGTTCTCACTGAACAAAGCGATGTCAGGGCTTTAGTGTCTTTTCCTAGTGGACAACCTTAACAGCAGTTGCCTTCCATTTTTCCACCATTTTTCTGTCGTTTCACAATGTGCTGACCCTCAGTCCATCTGTGGATTGTTCTTCGGATACATTAAGACTTTTGCTGTAGCATAGACATTCTTCAAGTGTAAGTTTGGTGATGGATTTATCTTGGAGACCATCCAGGAGGCTGCTACTAAGGACCAAGAGGACCTCATTATAAAGTGATTTTGCTGTAAAACGGTGCCTTGGGATGGTCCCTAGACACAGCAGGCTGTTTATAGGGTTTAAAAAGTACGTTGTGTCAAAAAAAAATGTCACCAAGGGGTCCTTGCCTCACACCTTAAGTTTAAATAAATTCCAGGTGAATCAAAGAGCTAAGTGTAATGATTTAATTCCATACAAAAGATTTTTACAAAGCTGTAAGTAGACACTAGTGAACTCCTGAGTGAGAAGACCTTTGCGGCAACAGATAAGCCATCACATGGAACAGTCATTTAAAAAACATAAAGGAGTGTAGCTGCGGCTGGCCCTCCATCACCATCAACTGGGAGACGGTGCTCAGGAGTGTAGACCCCACCCCACAGTCTCTGCTCAGGGCCCAGAAGCAAAGGAACAAGGCTCTTGCAGAAACGTCACCACGATGGCCCACTTTGAAGAAACATACCTTGAAGGGCACAGTCTGCCACAGGAACTCCTAGGTTTCACACAGTCTAGGACCCTCATCCACTTTTAGGGTGGCTCTTCTCACCTTAACCTAAGCAAGAGAATCTCTTCCAGGCCTGGCCCGAGGCTTGTCTTCTAAGTGATTCTAGATCCTATCAAATTGATTATCAGTATCAAACATTGCACCTGCTACAGAGAAAAAACAGCTAAGGACACCAGAAAGAGTTCTAGGGAAAGATAAACCAAGAGGAAGGAGCAGACTGCCAGCATGAGGGGTGTGTTTTAAGGAAGACCCTTGTAGATGCATTATTCTCTGCTGTTTATTTATTATACACATTTTCTAGACTTAGTTGGAGTAAGTGAATTGAAATCCTGAGGATTTCTACCAGGGAGCTGAACTTACCTTCCATACTACACAGTGCTTAGGACTACAGGTTCCTCACATGTTAGGTAGCCTTGCCCATCCTTATTCTTTTTCATATTTAATCTGGTAAGGCCTCAAATCTTATTATTCATTTTTATTTGTATTTTTAAAAAATTAGTGATGCCAGGCTGGCAAGATGTTCACTGAGAAAAGGTGTTTGCAGCCAAAACATGATGACCTGAGTTTGACCCCTGAGACACATGTGGTAGCAGGAGGGAACCAACTGCATTAGTAGTCCTCTGGCTCCAACGTGTGTGCGCCTGTGGGCATGCGTGCGTGTGTACACACGCACACTCAAATTATAAACAAATGCAAAATTTTTAGTTAATGATATCAATGGGTTTATGTGTTTATTTTCCTTTTAAAATTCTTTGGTATGGTTTTTATCTATATTATTTCTCCATTTTTAAAAATCAGAACATTGCTCTATTATTGTTGATTAATACATGTTCTGTTTGTATTACATACTAGAGGGTTAAATGTTGGTGTAGCCAAACTTCAGTAAAGTTTCTGTTTCTTATTTAAATATTTAATTTATCTGGAAGTCATTTCAGGGTGAGGCATGAAGTAAGTACTGAAGTTTTGTTCCAGTAACGCTAGCCATGGTGTCACTCGTGTCATGCGCTGGATAGTGTCACTTGCCTGGATAGGTGTACCTCTGTGTGTGTGTGTATGTGTATGTCTGTCAGTGTGTATGTATGTGTAAACACATATTTTACGATCTTTGAAATGCTTCCCTTTGATTTTTAGTCCGTTGCTTTTCCTTTCCTTGCAGAGCAGGACGCAGGCCTTGATGCCCTTTCCTCCATCATCAGTCGCCAGAAACAAATGGGCCAGGAAATCGGGAATGAGCTGGATGAGCAGAACGGTAAGAGCGAGGCTGAGGCCGCTCAGCTTGCCGCTGGTAGCAGCCCCACAGGTCCAGGCGTTGGTTGACTCCCTGTCGATTTGCGGCATAGGGGAGCCTGCAGTCAGCGGGCTGCAGTGGTTATTGCAGTGTGCTCATTGCAGCTGTGGTGATTTGTGGGCATTTGCATTGCAGTTATCGAGTACTGTGCAAGAAAAAAAAATGCCACTAAAATGTTTCAGTACTCAGTGACTGCTTTGACTTAATTAATTTTGGTGCTTAGAGCCCTGGTGGCCTTGAACTCTCTATATGGATCAGGCTAGCTTTGAACTTGCATTGCTTTCTTCTGCATCTGCGTCCCAAGTACTGGCATTACAGTCATGTGCTGACCGTACCTGGCCCTACTATTTTGAGAAGTACTTCATGATCTATTTATTTCAAGGGCTTTTTTTTTTCTCTGTGGAGGATGTGAAATTGCTCAGTGTTTGGTATTTTGATACAAAACATAATAAAGCTGGGTGGGCCTCATATCATGTCTGCACCCAGTGGGGTTTGCTCTTCTTCCGTCATAAATGACCAGGCCACGGGACAAAAAAGTTTGAAGGTGTCTATTTATGGGCTTGATGCGACAGATGTGGTTTGAGAACGATGAACTTGTGGTCAGGAGTCTTAGGACTTGGGAGGCTCTCATGCTTGAGTTATGTAAGGGGGAGGAACCTGAACAAGAGTAACCATGGGGATGGAGAGTGGGGCGCATGCGGGAAACAGCCAGTGCTCTCACTGTGAGGGACACAGTGAAATCGAGAGGTTTGTGAGTCGAGACTGTGAGTCCAAATTAGATGCGTCCAACCAGAGATACGGTGAGAGGGCCAAGGGGAAAGGCTCAGTCTGCCGTTGGTGCAGTCGTGGCTTAGTGAGGAGACAAGACAAGAAGTGGGAGGCGCTTCCTCAGGGATGTGACACGCTGGCATGTCCAGTGGCTCTCCTCACCTGCTGAGCACGCTTGCCCACATCATGCCATGTACCCTACATGAAGAAAGGAAGGTAGCGATGTCCTCATTGCTAGAAATGAAGCTCCGAGTTGCAGAGAGCCCTCTGAAGGCCACAGCTTTTATAGAGGGCAGGACTGAAGCTGCTGTGTGATATGGCTACTTCTCTGTCATTCCAGCATCCTAGCCAAGGAAGACAGGGTAGGGAGGCAAAGCATCCTGTGTGGGTAGATATGAAAGGCCTGGTAGGGGACAGAGTCGCTCTCTGCAGGGAGGCTGCCCTTGCCAGAACCATACAACAGGCACTTCCCTCCTTGATCCCAAGAAGGAATGTGGTCATCGTTCCCATGGTTTCAGCCCATTTCTCTATCATAAGTAAACAAATCCAGCTGTTGAGCATCTGTCACACGCAAACAGACTCGTAAGCAAATGGAGAACCCTCTGTCTCTACACTCCTAATGTGGTTTGCGACAGCTTAGCACTGGGGGACAGTTTGTTCCTTCTCCTGCTGGTGCTATGAGCAGGCCAATTATGGACTGTGTTTGATCCAGGATAACATGAGGGAGACTGTGTTTGGTCAGTTCCTCCAGTGCGGCACAGCATTAGTAAGATAATAAGCTTTATTTTAAAAAGACAACCTTGACTATCTGGTATTTGCTTGTTTTTTATCTCAAGGAAATTTGCCTGGGGCAGGAGGTCTGACCTAAACTGATGAACATGTCATTCTGTAGTGTGTGCAGGCCACAGTGTCCCTGGGTACGTGACTAAGAATGAAAGACACATGGTTTTGGGTGGGACTCACCGTCTTCTCAGGTAAAATTGCCATATATTTCCCAGCACAAGCAAGCATACCAGCATGCCTTCCTTTTCAGTGGCTATCAGAATTGCTTGGGGGTGCTTTAACACCCCTCAAAGCCTAGGTTGTGTCTTGGTTGAGCGTCCAATTCCTGTTATGATCACAAAGGTAGCGGCTTAAGATAACATAGACTTAGTGTCTTACATTCGGTAGCACACAAGTCTGACTTGAGTCTTGCTGGGTGAAAACCAATGTATGAACAAGAGATCAGCATTCCTTTCTGAAGGCTCTAGGGAGGGATTGGTTTCTTTGCCTTCTCCAGCTTCTAGTGGCCACCCACATTCCTTGGCTGACATCCCTTCTGTGTTTCAAAGCCAACAGCAATAGACGTCCTGCTGATACTGTATCACTACTGCTCCTACTGCTCCCAGTGCTCCCCTCCACCTTTGGAGACCCTCTTGTTCACACTGCACCCCCCCCAACAGTTGGAGGAACAGCCCTTGTGGTCCCTCTGTTGGGAGGTTCAGTCTCACTTGCAGCCTTGATGTCTGCCACAGAACCTTACAAGGAAATCTGAACATGAGGGAGAGAGAGCAGATTGCCCTCATCATGTCAACGTGTCCGTGTCAACTGTATTGAGAGGGTGGAGTTAGTACTACTGTGCTTTCACACTGTCTCCCGTGTGCTCATGTCAAGCATGCGCAGAACCTTCACAGTTATGTGTCACAGAGAGTTTGTGGTCGTGGGCCCAGTTCTTTCTCTCCGTACCACATAGCTTACCCGCTTTTTGTATCCCCCCCATCCCCATCCCACAGTCAGATAGATATATCTGTATTTAGACAAACATGGGGACTTTCCCGCGAGGTGCCAACATAAGCTGGGTTTCTCTGTGGTGGCCTCCCAGGGAGCCAGCAGTTACTTACATACTTACATGGGTGGTTTTCTGATGTGTGTTTTCTCTTCAGAGATAGGGCAGACTCAGCCATTTTCTCTCACAAGAATCGATGCTCTCAGAATAAAAATAAAGCAAAACCAGTCCCTGACAGGCTTATAGTCAACCTCCGTTCCTGTCGCTAAACTGAAGCAAGGCTGGTGGGATCTCCAGTGGACAGGCCTGTAGCCCACCTGGGTCTTTACTGTGACACGTGTGTGCCACAGACGTCAGGGCCACAGGCAGAGGACACTTGTTGTAAATACCTGGGTGATTTCTGGAGCTGCAGACTTGTTGCTTTGATTTTCCTTAGAGCAGCAATCGGCAGGAATAATGACCAGCCAGACAGATTTGGAACAAAGGGTTAAACCTTCCTAATAAATATGTTGTACTTAGAACATAACCACAGAATCAAAGGATCAGTTTATCTTCAATTTAGGAATGCAGTTTTCATTCTTACCGTAGGGAATTAAGAGCAGCTGACCACCGTCAGTTGTTTGTTTGTGGGCAGTGACCAGGCCTAAAAAGGGAAAGAGCAGTAGCGAAGGGGAAATCCCAGTCGTGGGCCTATATGCCACTCGCTCGTCTGTGGGGAATGGGAGAGCAGGATGGCGGGGAAGGCCGCTTGTTTTCCTAACATCAATTCTGGGGCAAGGAAACCAGTGAGTCCTTCAGAGACCTAGAAATGTGACTGCTCATCGACAGGCATGGTGCTCCCAAAACTTCACATATCCTGTCAGGTGGTGGTAGCACACGCCTTTAATCCCAGCAGTCAGGAGGCAGAGGCAGATAGGTCTATGAGTTCGAGGCCAGCCTGGACTACAGAGCAAGTTTCAGGACAGCCAGAGCTACACAGAGAAACCTGTCTCAAAAAATCCAAAACATCAACAACAACAAAAACCAAACAAAAGAACATGCACATCAATGGATTACTACTTGCTGATTTGTTAGAATTCCTAACTGAATTTTCATTGTGAAAAGTGACAATAAAACTGGATATTTGCCTCTCTGAAACTTGGCAAGATAAGCACATCTCCATCACTAAAATATTGCCCTATTGGGGCCAAAGGGATCTTACAGGTGTGGCAGGTTGAGTCAGGAAGGACAGGAAGGGTATTTATGATTATGCAGGAAATGTAGTCAGAGGTGTCTGCCTAAAGGGACGCAGCAGGGCTGGGTGCCTTGAGTTTCGTGTCTAGCACCCCAGGAAGAGAAAGGTTGCAGGTGAGAGGAGAGGGAGCTTTGACAGGAAGAACAAGACAGCGAAGTGTCTGAGACAAGACCGTGTCCTCTAGCTCTGAAGATCGCGGAAGGGGCCGCAAAGAAAGGGGTGCAAAGGCTCTGTAAACTGGGAAAGACAGAAAAGGGTCTCCCCTCAATTCTCTGGGGGAGCACCTTGACTTCAAAGCTAGTGAAACTGCTGTCAGCCTCTGTTGTACAGTAGCAGTGAGTTTGAGTAATACTCTGTCTTTTTGCCAGTTGCCACATAATTCAGATTAGTCACTAAAGTGTTAGAGTTACCTGTAATTCTATACTTTGAGACAATTTCTTTCTTTAAAGCAGTACTTTTTTAGATGATTTTTATGTGTATGAATGTTTTGCCTGCATGAATGTATGTGCACCACATGTGTGCCTGGTGCTGAGGTGTTGGATTCCTGGGACTCTGAGTTGTGGATGGTTGTTGTCCACCACATGGGTGCTGGGAACTGAACCTGGGGCCTCTGCAAGAGTAGCCAATGCTCTTAACTCCTGAGACAACCCTCCAGCTCATTGGGGGTGACTTCTGTAAGCTTTATAGGAGGAAGTTGCTTTAGTCAACTGACTCTGAAATCTCTTGATGTTCCCTGAGGCTTCCGTGACAGTTGGTCTTGTACTGATACAGTGTACGCAGAGGGGGGACTTCTTCCTGTCTGGTGTCAGAGCTCTTTATGAAAATATTTATTTTATGTGTATGTGTAAGACTGCATTTATATATGTACACCACATGCAGGAGCCCACAGAGTTCAGAGGAGGCGTAGAATCCCCTGGAACTGAAGTTACAGATGGTTGGGACCTAGCGTGTAAGTGCTGGGAACTGAACCTGGGTCCTCTGGAAGAGCAGACAGTGCTCTTAACCACTGAGCCATCTCTCCAGTCGCAGTATCAGACTCTTCCAAAGTATGTCAGGTAATTTTCTTTTTGGTCATCTAGAGAGAAACATCTTCCATTGTCGCAGGCTGTGTATTTCACTGTTGTGCTAGAGATAAAACTGGCAAGCTTTAGAAACCAGTGATTTCATGGCAGTGTGTGATTTCCCCATTCTGTT